CAGCTTCTCTGACGATAACAACACCAGCCGCTGTGTCCCATACGTGTAGGCTAAATGCGGCATAAGCGTCGGCTGCTCCTTGTGCAATTAAGCACATTTGAAGAGCAGCTGATCCAGTGCAACGTAAACCATGAACCTGGAATAAAAATCAAACGGGAAGCGTTTTCAATATCTGCTTTAGCGCCTTGAAAGAGTAGACCGACAGAAAAATTTGAAAGTTAAATCTGATCTACTTTACCTGTGCTTTTAAGGTACCTATTATCCTAATACAGGAAGATCTCGAATGGAATAGGAGCGATATAATGTAAACGAGGAAAAATAAACAGCCCTGACCAACCATTTCACTGCACGACCATTTCAAGCGTCTACTTAAATTCTTATATGGACTGGACCTTAATCGAATGACCCAAAGCTTGTTCACATCACCAACAACGAATTTGCAAGTTGCGAAGATGAACATTGCACAAAGAAACTCCGCATGCAGAAGAAATCGTTACAATTCACAGTAATTTTGAAACCATGTAATGAAGTCAACTAAAGTACCGAGAGGAATAGTGCTGTGCATAAAAAAAAAAACAAAACAAAACTTACCTGAGACAAGAATGTTTCAAAGTTTTTCGCCACGCATGTCCCTTTCTCCGAGTCTTTCGCGTATCCAATTTCCAGGAAAATCAGAGCGTTTGACAATTCGGTAGTTTTGGAAACACTGATGGGGTTATTGTTCAAAGTTGCACCACATCCCTTCCGTGCAGCGTACATTTGGTCGAGAATTGGATTATATATGACACCAATTACAGCTTCTTTCTCGTATGTCACACCAATGGACACTGCAACATGAGGAAAGGTGTGAACAAAATTCATTGTTCCGTCGATGGGATCCAAAATCCATGTTGGGTAATCCGTGAAGTCGTTTCTTCCAGATTCAGAACCTGGAAAAATAATCGTGCATCTAAAACTCTATCTAGAAAACTGAATGGCAAAACCTTACCAGCAGTTGTTTCCTCTCCAATAAGTTTATGACTAGGATACCGTTTGGCAATAGCAGCAAAAATGAAGGCTTCGACCTTCTTATCGTACTCAGTGACTAGATCAATGGAACTAGTCTTGATTTCGACGCGTTTATCGCTATCGAACCCTTCCCTTATGATTTGACCCGCCTCCTTTGCCAACTCAATAGCAAAAACAAAAACTTCCTCCGCATTGAACTCCATCACTTCAAAATAACGGTTGCTTGGCGGAAATGCGTTCCTTAAATATCCGAACTTGGTCAGAGACAACCCGAACAAGATCCGCTTCTGTCGCTCTTGGGTGTGACTTCACAAACTGGGCGATATTTACAATCGCTTCGGCCTGAAAAAAAATGCTTCGAACATTAAAAACAATTGTACTAGCACTTAAAACGAAAGATCACACGCACCTTTGCTGATTGAACGTCTCCTGCACCACTGACGTGTTCGAAAACGGATGCAACAAGACGAAGCGCCGCAACTTTCTCAAGTACCTGCTTCGATGAGTCGTTGTCGTCTAAAAGAGCAACCAGAGCCAACTGATGCACAAAAAAATGAAGGTTAACTATAAACCATCCATCTCGAGTCGTGGTCGTGACTCACTTGCTGGAACAAATCGAGTTTCGCCGCGTCAGACACGGAAGAAAACGACATCACGAGAGCTTCAAAAGCCGTTCACGCGGATTTTCTTTCTTTTTCTACTTC